AAAAATTACTTATTACTTATTACTTACTTATTATCTTCTTAAAAATTACTTATTGTTTGTTCGAGAGCTATCTTTTCGAGAGAGATCTATCTTTTAGCAATTTTTTGTTCTACTTTTTTTTTAAAGAAACAAAGTTTATTTTTTAGATTTGCACGCTAATCGATTTGGAATTTAATTAAATGCTCAACCCAGTATGAAATCCTATATTTAAACAATATGTTTTGGACAAAGTAGTAATGTTATGAAGAAAATTAATGCAAGGATTTGTGTCGAAAAATGAATTTCTTTTTTCTGTTCTGTGCAGCTGATAACTTACGCAAGCAATAAGAATTTTAGGATTTTTTTATGCAAGTTTTTATATGGGCACTTCCAAAAAAAAGTCCACCAAGCCAAAAACCTTGAAACTTGAATAAAACATATTTCCACATGATTTTGCCCCGATATTAGTTTGTAATTAGTTGGATACTGAGCTTAACTACAAATTTGGAGTATAGTTTGAATTTTTTTATGACAAACCCCACCAATATACGCAAAAATCCGTTTTTGGCTATTTTTTTGTTATTTTTTGGACCTGTCTTCTGTTGTAAATTTATCCTATAGGAATGCTAATATGTGACATTTTTCTGTACTGAATGCTTCATTCACATGCTAAACTATTAAGTTAAAAGCAAAACATCCAGCAATTGAGAGATAGAGGTAAAGAAATCCGCTTTACAAAACAGTCGGAAAAAATGTCCCGAGCGACATGTCCCGGGCGAATGTGGTTGAAACTGCATAAAAAAAAAAACGGCAAAGAATTTTTGAGTAAAACCAAAAGCATTTCAAAGCGACATGTTTGAACAACATTCTAAAAAAATCGCATTCAAATATTCCATCAGAATTTGCTCATTTATGGGGTTGTATGAACTTCCCCGAAATCCACTTCTATTTTTGTCCCGAGCGAATACGGCAGTTTTTTACCGATATCTTAAAAACTAAAAGTGGTACAAAATCAAGATTTTTACCAAAAATAGAGCTTGGGAAGAGTGAAAAGAAAAGCCCATAATTAAAATTAAAATCCATTGTTTTACAATTTTTTTTCAACTTTAAAGGTGTGCAAATGTCCCGAGCGACATTTTGGAAATGCCCATATATTTCTTAATAAGTTTGCTTAGGACAATATACTGTTGTTTTTACGGAAATTAAGGAAAAAAGTTATGATAAAATATTTTCTCGGCTTATAGGCTAAAAAATGTAAAATAAAAACCAAATATAAAAATATGCTTACTTTTCAATTTTAATTTCCGCAGGCGAGTTAGTTTAATATATACGGTCGAGTGATGCATTTTGAAGAGTTTTGAAGTTCAAATTTAAAAGGTTGTACTCACACCATCCCTGAAAAGAATCAATATCTGACTGTAAGTTGAAATCTGACCCTATATCTTTATACGATAAACTAAGCTTAACATCATCAGCGTACATTAGTACACGAGAATATGCTACGATAGTGGGAAAATCGTTAATAAACAAAGTAAACAGCATGGGCCTAAATGACTACCCTGAGGAACTCCAGATGTCACGTAAATCATCTTAGAAACAGCGCTCTTAAATATAACCCTCTGAGTCCTACCATTCAAGTAACTTGAAATCCAAGTTAATAGATTACATGGAAACCCCAGCTGATCTAATTTGAATAAAAGGAGAGAGTGGTTAACAGAGTCAAAGGCCTTACTAAAATCTGTATATATTACGTCAGTCTGCATTTTATTCTTAAAACCATTTATTACAATAAATGACAATTCAAGAAGATTGGTGGTGGTCGATCTTCGCTTATCAAAACCATGCTGACACGGTGATAAAAGCGAGGAACATAAATGTTGCAAATGAGAAGTAATAATACGTTCAAATGCTTTAGGAATTGCCGACAATTTTGAAATACCTTTCTAATTCTGGGCATCCACCTTCGCACCCTTTTTGTGGAGTGGAATAATGAAAAGTCCTTCCAGATAGTTTGAAAAACTGATGATGGAATAGACAAATGAAAAAGATTAAGAATCGGTTTACAAATGGTTGAAGCACAAAACTTAAGCACACTCCCAGGGAGTCCATCAGGACCGGGAGAATACGTTGGCGTTGTTGTTGCTAAATCCTTTAAAAGAGAACTTTCGGTAATTACAGGGGCAAAAATACAATTTGCCCTATTTAAGGGGTTAGGGTAGATAGAATTTGACCAAGCAGCCGAACTAATAGTAGTTTGGAAAAATTCTGCAAACAAATCCGCAATTTCAGAATCCGACGATGCTGTTTTTCAGTTCAAACGTACCGATGAAGGCAATGCCGAAGACTTACGCTTGGCATTAACAAAGTTATAAAACTGTTTCGGATCATTTGAAAATTCGAATTTACACTTATTTAAATACATAGAATAGCAATGACTGTTGAGAACATTAAAATCTGAACGAGCCACCACATATTTCGAAAAATCAGATGGCTTACCCGATTTTTTATACTTTTTATAAGTGTTGGATTTAAGATTTTTAAGTCTTTGAAGCGCATTGTTAAACCAAGGAGGCCTGTTTAGCTTTGGAGGAAGCCTGTCAGGAACGCATTCGTCAAGAAAAGTGTTTACAACGCTATAGAAAAGTTCAATTGCTTTTTCAATATCCATGCAATTATACAAATCAGTCCAATTATATTGCGAAATCATGTAATTTAGTTTATTATAGTCACATTTTCGAAAGCATCTCGTTTTAGTTTTAGGAACTAAAGGAGAAAGGGTATCAGTACAGGGAAGGCCAATTGTCAATTTCAATGTTGGATGATATCGGTCTTCAGATACCGTAACTTCATGCGGATCTAAAACAAATACTAGATCTAATTGTCTATTTAAAAGTATCTTTATTGACAGCAAAATCCAAAGTAGCTCCCCTCAAGACGAAAACTTTGCCCCGCCTTGAGTTGTGCGCAGCTCACCTTCTTGCGAATCTTTATAATCGTGTAAGACCATTGCTTAATTTTCCGATCACAAAGGTGTTCCTATGGACGGACTCGGAGATCACTCTGCATTGGATCAAAACGCATCCGTCGTCGTTGTCGGTTTTCGTCTCAAACCGAGTTGCAGAGATCCAAGAGTGGTCGGAAAAAGCAATTTGGCGACGTGTCCCCACGAAAGTAAACCCAGCGGACATCGACATAGTTTTCGTGTGGGTCTTTCGGTTTATTCAAAGGTGCAAAAAAGCGTCGCAGCCCTTTGAAAAAAGTATTACTCCAAGAGAACTGAATTTTGCGTTCGAGAAAATAGTGAAAGTGATCAAATCTCACGAGTTCATCGACGACATAGGCAAAATTCGCAAAAATAAACCGGTAGCAACGAATATTCAAAAACTAAGCCCTTTTCTCCAGGAAAAAAAATTAGATTGGTGTTCCTCGACATTGCTGCGAGTTGGGGGTTGGTTATTGAATGTTCCTATCCCTTACGAAGCCAAAATCCCGTTGTTGTTGTCAAAAGGCTCACAGTTTGTTAAAACCTACGTGTCCTACCTGCACGTTACAAATTGTCTTGCTGGCCCTCGAACTCCTGTAAATCTGTTGCGAGAAAAGATATGGTTGGTTAATGCGCAGGAAGTTTGCCGCAGAACAGTTCGTTCTTGCATTCGTTGCTTTCGGTGAAAGCCTCAACTCTTGACGCAAATCATGGGGAGCTTGCCATCAGACAGACTTCGAGCTCTCCGCCCTTTTAATATATGTGGTGTTGATTTTTGTGGCCCATTTAACACAACGTATCGTAGCCGTGGTAAGCCACCGTACAAATCATACATGGCATTATTTGTATGTTTTGCGTCCAAAGCGGTCCACTTAGAGTTAGTGTCTGGCCTCACCACTGATGCGTGTTTGTTGGCATTCCAGAGGTTCGTGAGTCGACCCGGGATTTCGGAGAAGGTGTGGTGCGACAACGCGACGAACTGTGTCGAGACGATCGCCACATGAGAGAGTTCCGGGCCTGTCTGGAGGAGCAGGGGGGCGGTATCGCAATATTCGCATCAAGAAAAGGATGCGAGTTTGCGTTCATACCGCCCAGAGCACCTCACTTCGGCGGGCTTTGGGAGCACCTGTTCCTTCGGACGGTCGGAGAAGACATGCTGACCGCGGAGGAGCTCGGAACTCTGCTCACCAGCGTGGAGGCCGTTCTCAACTCCAGGCCCCTCGGAGCGATCAGCACGGATCCCAACGACGGCGAAGCCCAGGCCATCTACTGATCGGCGGACCCCTCTAGCTCCACCCTCAGCAGCGCTCCCAGACCAAGTCAGCCCAACCTGCTTACGACGATGGCGCAGTGTCTCGTCTCCAGGCAAAAAACAAGTGGCACCAGGAGGTCCCAAACGTCGCCGTGGGAGCTCTCGTCGTCGTCGCCGAGGACAATCTTCCGCCGCAGCAGTGGATAATTGGTCGGATCGTGGAGGTGCACGTCGGCGCTGACGGCAAGGTCAGAGTTGCGGACGTGAAGACGAAGGATACGACGTATCGGCGACCGGTCCATAGACTGGCGGTGCTGCCTGTGGCGTGCTGAAGACGGCGAATGGTGTAAGGCGGGAGCGGGAGCGCAATAAAGCTTTAATCGCGCTCGCGAATTCGCCCCGTCTCTCGCCCCCTTTGTTAAGTTAGGCTTAAGCATTTTTATATTGAAATTAAAGAGTTAGTTGTTATATGAATCTCATTGCGCAAACTCCCTTTCGTCGTCGAATTTTCACTGCAATCATAAGTTTCGCGTTTCCTTAATACAAAAGAGTAGTAATTAATATTAATAGTATTACCACTAAAAGTGGTAAAAAATCAAGATTTTTAAACAAAATAGAGCTTAGGAGGAGTGAAAAGAAAAGCCCAATATTAAAATTCAAATCTATTTTTTTTTGAAATTTTTTCCATCTTTAAAGGTTCATATGCCAAGTATTAGACTATCGAAAATATTCGCAGTCTCTTTGCTTACTTGCTTACTCAGTGGAGCAATAAATTAAAAAAGTTGGTTAGTTTGTACAATATATTGTTTTATTATACCAAGATATACATTTAAAGATATATACTCAGAAATTTGTAATATATCTCAAAAAAAGAAGTTTCAATCGAAAGGATTATTTAATGAAACGGATTCATTTTTGCCTTGGCCTTTATTCTTGTCATTACTTTCCGATATGGTTTTCACATATTTTTTAATCATAATTTTATTTTCTATTTTTTTAGTTCCTATTGCCAACACTTTTGCAATCCCAGAAATGATATTTGAGGAATCAGAATTAATATTTATGGCACTTTTTATGTTCAACAAATTTTTTTTAGTTTTGCAAACAACACATATTACTTCCTCCCGACGTTTTGTCGAATTGTAGCTAAGGCATTCTTTATGGTAGGAATGTTGACAAAGAAAATAAATTGACTGCGTAGTCAACGTCTCACGACAGATATCACATGAATCATTACGAAATTCCATTGGATTGTTTGTATAGAGAGAGAGCATCAAACTAGATCTCCTTATCTTATCATTAAAATTTGCAATTAACTGTACTTCATTTGCTGAATCAACAATATCGCGAATAATTTTTTCCCTAAGTAATGGTTTAATCCGTAATGCTTTTACTTTATCATTTGAGCAAGAACTTTTTAACATAATAAGAAATGTTCTTTTACTTATATTACAATTTAAAGAACCTTTCGGATTATTTTCAATTAATGTATGTATACATTTATTTACAGCTTCATGTTGCAGTGCATCATCATTCTGTTGGTTGTTATTCATTTCTTGTATTCCATCAAAAAATGAATAAAGTCTACAAATAATTAAAACCCTATCCAAACGCAGACCTTTTTTTTTTACAAAATTTAAAACATAGCTCGTAGTAACTTGTTTTTTTTGCCACAGTACAAGATAAAGAAGAAGTAAGTAAAAATATAAGTTTTCGTTACAATTTGGAAACTTTTCAATAATTTCGGCCAACACTTTGGAACGATAGTCGCTTTGATCTGGCAGCATGGACAAAAACGAAAGAATATTTTCTGGTGTATTAACATTTTCAAATTTTATATTCTCCAAATAAGTAGTGGGACTTACTAAAAGCTTTTCTGGTCCATATTCTAAAAATCGATGTAATAAATGTTCTTCTTCAACTTGGCTCTGATTTCGAATTTTACATTCGAAATACATTTTTGATAAATTGGATAGTTGTTTTAATTCCGGACTGCTTGTACAATTTAAGATTTTATTATTATCTGATATCTGCTGTATTTCATGCTTAATTTGTTCACGCTTAATGCAACATTCAATAAGTTTTGTATAACTGTTTGAAGTCTTATTAATTTTGTTCCATTCAGATAAGTATTCCTTTAAATAACTATTGTATCTCGAGCACAAGAGTTTTGAAATTACAGAATACGGCTTAATAAAACCAATAGTTTTAATAAATTCTTTAACTGCTCTACTTATGTCGCCTTTTAGTAGTAAATAATTTCCGTATTGAAACCGTACTAAAGCGGCTTCCTGTGAGTAAGTACTGCCTTCTCGATGTAATAATCTCAGTGCAACATCGTACAAATTTTTTTCAATTAATAGGCGTATTTTATTGCACATATTCAGCTGCTGTAACAAAATTACATTACATTTGTTTGAGACATGGGAATTGCTTATAATATAGAAAAAATCATTTTCACCGGTTATGTGAAACAACTCTTGTAATTGCTTTTGAAAAACTATAATTTTGTTTTCTGTATCTACAACAATAAGAGTAGAGATGTTTTGCTTTAAAATAGATTTTTTTGCGGTGACAATAAGGTAATGACCTACCCACGCAAGATGTTTCTTTGTGCCTTCAATGGCAAAACAAGGCCCTCTTCCCTCACGGGTATAGCAATATACAGCATCTTCCCGTCCCACTACCAACATGGACTCTTCAAAACCGTCTTCTCCAGGCTTGCGCATCGTACTGCAGTGGTTGAAATTGCCTTTATCATTATCGAGTATTAAAGTTTGATCTATACAGCTTTTCTCTTTTAACATAAAATAGTAAACTCCTTGAAGACATGTAACAAACATGCCATGAGTTGGCGGATCTGATTGCCAGTCACTGATGTTAAAATGTATTCCATTTATTGCATATCCAGATACAGTATGCTGTCGAATATTTGCAGAAAAAATTCGGTTAATTTTCCCGTAATGCAGAATCATATCACCATTCTCGAAGCCTATGGCTAATAAAAGTAATTTATCATCGATGACTTCTGCGTTAATGCATGAAGCAGTACTTGTAACTTGAAAGTATGCCGATGCAATTATCGGAGCTCCTTGATTTTTGGTTAATCTTTTCAAATCGTATATATCAATGTGAATACCATAATTAGAATCCGATGTAACAGTTGCAAGCCAGTTATTTAATGTAAGGGAGCACAGAGTGATAGTATCCCGTCTGGCTTGAGATTTAAAGGTAATACATTCCCAATTCGAAAGGTATACAAGAATATTTCCGTTTTGATCACATATTACAATTCTTATTTTCATTTCCTCTGTGGTTGATTTCGACTCGTAAAAGCAGTAGCACGATATTTCCGCCGCTGACGGACATTTTACAAATGGTAATGCGATTATGTTAAAGAGATGAACTTTTTTCCATTCCGATACCCTTTTATCCTTATCCATTTTATTAATATTTGGTATAATGATTTAGGGAAACTATACTTCGTTAAATGAAACACATTGTATGGTTTTTATTTTGTAAGGCCAGAATTGTAGGCACAGTTAAGAGATGAACACGAATAAGATTTTATTTTTGGTCTGTATATTTTCGACAAAAATAGAATGGTGGTATATGAAACAGGGAAAGACGTCTAATAGCCTCTTCCCATAGAGTCCATCCCACACTGGTCGAAATGACCAATTTTTTTGCATAAAATCAAAATTTTTATGGTAAAATATATTGAATTAACTTTAATATTCTTATAATATATTGTTCAACTACAAACAATCGATAATTTTATGTTGAATATTTGCAAGTCTGGAGTTTTGCTAGGGTCGCAAAGTTCGTTGACCGATCAGCTGCTTGCAAGAAATAAGAAGCGGAAAATAGTTAATTAAGTTTGACAATTCGCTATTTTTAATTTTGTGCAACAATTTCAATATCCATTCAACGGATGGAAGATGGTGGATGGAGCTCTGTGGGAAGACCCTATTATTTGTAGTTTGTTATGAGCGAAAAAGCGTTCGCAAACAGGTTGCTATGAGTGGGCCGAAATGTAAGCTGTTCTGCGTACGAAATAGGGATGTCGAAATATTTAAAAATATCGTATCGATGATATTTTTTATTTAAACAAAAAATCAAAAAGTATATTTGATATATCAGAAAAAAAATATCTATATATCAGGTATTTTTGATATTTTTGTTTTATTAATTTTTTTTTAATTTTAAGCTGCATAAGCAATAACCACTAAACATTAGCCCACATACGATCTTAAATTATATTTTTATAATTTTTAGTTTATATTTATTAATAAATGAAAGAAACCAATATTTATTTTTGCTTTCTTTTGCTTTTATTTATAATATTAAAATCAAGTATTTCCCGCGCATTTTTTTTCTTGAATTCTGAATGCTATGCTATGCATTTTCACTTGCCGAAAAATATATTTTAGCGGCGCTCATCTTTCACATATGTATTTTTTCTTGTCCCGATGAAAAGTGAGACCACTTAAAATTATAAAAAAAAATGTGACGAAAAAATCGATGATATATGATAGTTATTCAAAAAAAATATCACGATAAAAATATTTATTATATTGATATTTTGATATATTTTCGACATCCCTAGTACGACAACATCAATGTTTGCAGCAAAGACTCAAAATATATTCTGCACTTCGTAAATAATAAGTAATATTAATTTAAAGTGTACTTTGTACTCCTATAAAGTTCCAAAGTTTCTATAATTTACCAAGAATAGCATAAATTTGGTTTCGTTTACAAATTTTTCATATTAATATTGGCTAGACAGAGTCTAAGAGCGGTAAGAGCGGTGTGTGGGGTACGGGAGGTTAGGCTCCCCCCCCAGTCAGCAATATGTATGCAAACTCTTTGTAGGATATGTTCTAAACGTTCAGATATGTTTTTAAACTATTTTCTTAATCTATTTATTGATATATTCTACAATAAAATTAGGAGAACGCAATTTTACGACAGTTTTACCGAGTTGAAATCCCCCTTCGTTAATGTTGAGCTGACAACTGCTCTTCAGTCAGCTGTTATTGGATGGTAGATGGTGGATGGAGTTCTGTGGGAACACGAGTTTCACATTTGTCAAAAATCCTAACCGTTTCAAACGAATGAACTCTATGGGAAGAGACTATAATTTAACAACAGCCATAAAACCATGATTCTAAGCAATTTTTAATTTTTTTCCGCCATCGATTTGCAGTTATTGTTCCATTTTCCATAGTCAAGAGGAAGAAGTCATAGTTGCACCGAAAAAACATTGCCTAACTATCGCATATAAGAGCCCGTCAAAGTCCGTCAAAATTGGATGGCGGACTAACTGGGAACTTTTCGTAACGGCAAAACCTTACGGACCATCCGTTCAACGGATGGTGGATGGAGCTCTGTGGAAAGACCCTATTAAATTAGATGTAGCACTAACTGGCAAACTTTCAGAACGGCAAAACATTTCGGAAGACCCCATAAATAAATTTTAAAAATCCACAATGAAGAATTCTTTGTAACCTCTTCCCACAAAAATTTATCCGTTTAATACCCTCTGCTCCTGTTCACACTGAAAATCACTGGAGCAACGACAGAAGGTATGAAAAATTTTTGTTTGAAATCGAGACATGGTGATATTTATGTTTAAATAACTAGAAGTCAGGAATGAAGAACTCAATACCTTACGTCCTAAGCGTGTGAGGCGTTAAAGCAACAGAACTAACTTAACTTAATTTTAATACATACCTTAGCTTAATAATGATGTACTATTTTTATACCAGTTACTCGGAGATTAAAGGGGTATATTGTATTCGTGCAAAAGTATGTCACAGCTAGAAGGAAGCGTTTTCGACCCCATAAAGTATATATATTCTTGATCACGGTCACTAGCCGAGTCGATCTAGCCATGTCCGCCTGTCCGACTGTCCGTCCGGATAAACGCTGAGATCTCGGAAACTACAAAAGGTAGAAAGTTGGGATTACCCACACATATTCTTGGGCTTCCTACGCAGCGCAAGTTTTTTTCAGCCGAGAAGTCGCTTCTGAGGTACTTCCAGAAGTGACTTGGCCGACACTTCTAGTAGTGACGAGCCGGATCGGACTACTATATTTTATGGCTCCTACTATGTCTTCCAGATGTTACCAAAAAGTGACTTCTGGACTAGAGCCGACAGAATTATCGCTTTCTTGCTTGCAGGTGTGTACTGTAGAACAGCCCACCGGGAAAATTCCTCTGGAAAATAACATATTTTCATGAGGTTTCTCCATACAAGCGGAAGGGACAAAACCTCATTCACTCTTACATTTCTTCCATCTCTGGTTTCAAAATACACGGGGGTGACACAAAAAGTAAGGGGGAAAAGAGGTTTCTATCTGGATCTCTGGCAGAAGAATGCAGGCTAAAGTCCAGTGGTTTTTCAACTTCCCCCATTATAGATTTTCCACACGTACTCAGTTATGGTTTTCCTCCACTTGCAATATCTGTTTTTCTACACCCTCCCAGTTTTGGGTTTTCCAGACCCTCGCAGTTTGGTTTTGCACTGCTTTGCAGTATCTCATTTTCCACAATAAAAATGTTTTTTGTGTTAAATGTTTGTTTATTTTTTAATAATATTTACAGTCGAAGCATTGGAACTACAAATTTTTAATGCCTGAAGCATTCCCGGTTTGCTTGGCCGAATGCAGTTCTTAGGTATCCATGTCTTGTCTGTCCTCTGAAAACAGTGTTGCCAGATGAAAATTTTGCTTCCCCCCTAAGAAATCTCAAAAAGGCGATATTTCCCCCTAAAAAATCCAGTTTTCCCCCTAAATTCAAAAATTCAGTTAATTTCGAAAATATACAAAAAAATAAGAAATATCTCAATATGACGTTGTAGAAATATTGAGATTGGACAAATCTGTGTATAGTAATTTGTTATTTAACATATTATTTATTTTTAATATATTTTGAAATATATGTATATTCTTTATACTTATGTATATACTACAAAACGAGATCGAATTTTAAGAGATCACCTCGAGAACTTCATCTAAAAAATTGGTCTTGTACACTTCCTCGCTATTGAATAGCTTATACATTTGAGGGGATGGTTCAAAGCTATTGCATTTGTTTGGTAAGGTTAATCTTATTCGAAAAAGAGCATCGGCGGTTTTGGTTGCGATTCTGTTTCGCAATTTATCTTTAACAATGTTAAAAACCGAAAATGCTCGTTCAACAGATGCATTTGAAAATGGCAAGCACAGAAGGGACATTGCTAGTTTTGATACATTGCCAAATATTTTGTTATCACCAGCATCGGTTTGTTCGTCGATTGTAGCCCAGTATTCATCTGAGGACGTTGCTTTTGTTTCGACGCGATGCAACAAATTGTACTCGGTCACAGTAGCGTCGATGTCAATGCCAAGTCCCTTGAAAGATTCAACCAGTTCAGAAATGTCTTCCTTATACTGACTGGATGCTGCTTTCGGTGCAAAAACACATATTTTTTCAAGGCATTTTGTGTTCTTGGGAACTCGTGCTTGCAATTCTTCCGTGAGTTTAATCAAGCAGTCCCTGCATCGATTTTTTATGTATATCAAGTGGTCCGGCAAGCAATTTGAAGACAACTCATTAAAAAGGTATCCATAATTTATGCAATCCACTGGCATCAGGAAGTTTTTAAACGGAAATTCGCATAAATCTTGTGCGTTTGCCTTTGCCAATTGTTGTGGCACAAC